CAGAGCTTGCGCAACGAATAAATCACTGTTTCGTCGCACAAGAACCGTAAGCGCGATGTAACAAATTATTTCCGTCGCGCAATGTAATTCAGGGTTTCTGGCTTAGGGTTTAGGTATCAGGGTTCAGGGTTCAGGGTTCAGGGTTCAGGGTTCAGGGTTCAGGGTTCAGGGTTCAGGGTTCAGGGTTCAGGGTTCAGGGTTCAGGGTTCAGGGTTCAGGGTTCAGGGTTCAGGGTTCAGGGTTCAGGGTTCAGGGTTCAGGGTTCAGGGTTCAGGGTTCAGGGTTCAGGGTTCAGGGTTCAGGGTTCAGGGTTCAGGGTTCAGGGTTCAGGGTTCAGGGTTCAGGGTTCAGGGTTCAGGGTTCAGGGTTCAGGGTTCAGGGTTCAGGGTTCAGGGTTCAGGGTTCAGGGTTCAGGGTTCAGGGTTCAGGGTTCAGGGTTCAGGGTTCAGGGTTCAGGGTTCAGGGTTCAGGGTTCAGGGTTCAGGGTTCAGGGTTCAGGGTTCAGGGTTCAGGGTTCAGGGTTCAGGGTTCAGGGTTCAGGGTTCAGGGTTCAGGGTTCAGGGTTCAGGGTTTACGGTTTATTTTGCGCGACGACTTTATTTGTTTCGTCGCGCAAGTCCCCAAAATTTTAGGCGGTTCGTATCCCGCCTATTAAAACGTATTTGCGCGACGACTTTTTTATATTTCGTCGCACAAAGGGCGATATTTTAACTTTGCGCGACCAATGTTTTGTTCGTCGCACAAGACCACAAATATTTTGGGGAAAAAAACGCGCAGTTTTCAGTTGTCTTCAACCTCTCAAAACCTAAACCTCTCAGGCCCCCTCTCTCTCTCTGGATCAGACCTTCGAACCTAACTCGCACCCGCTCTCTGTCCTTCACCCCCTCTCGTCCCTCTCTGTCCCTCTCTCCTCCGAACGCACTCATCCCTCTCAGTCCCTCTCACCTCCGTCCCCTCTCATCCCTCTCAGTCCGTCGCTCCTCCGTGCGGCTCTCTGGCTTTCATCCCCTCTATGTCCCTCTCTTCTCCGTCCCCAGTAATCCCTCTCAGTCCCTCTCTCCTGCGTCCCCTCTCAGTTCCTCGCTCCTCCGTCCCCTCCATCCCCTTAGTCCCGCGCTCCTCCGGCTCCGGTCATCCCTGTCAGACGGCGGCCCCCCTCTCTCTGTCTCGCTCGCCACCGCCGGACCTGCGTGCCCTCCGGTCTCCCTCGAAACCCACTTGGTAAAATCCTAAACTCTAGCCCCGATTAATAATTTCAATTCTGATTTTGTATTTCTGAAATTTGTGGATGCTGTTTGGAATTTGTATTTCGAATTTTTATATTTGTTTTGCTGTTTCAATTTCCAGATTGTGTATTTTGTGAATGTTTAAATTGCTTAGTATGATGCTTGGTTAGGAAGCCTATGTTTCAATTTTGTTTTTGTATTGGATTTTGATTGTTGATTTCAAATTTTATTGGAGGTTTTGAACTTGCATTGTGGTGTTGGATTTGTGAATTTTTAGGTGTATTGCTGTTAGATTTCAGATTTGATTGGGGCACAAAATTGCTTAGTCTGATGGTTGGTTAGGAAGCATATGTTTCAATTTTTTTTTTGGTATTGGATTTTGATTGTTGATTTTAGATTTTTTTGGAGGTTTTGAACTTGCATTGTGGTGTTGGATTTGTGAATTTTTACGTGTATTGCTGTTAGATTTTAGATTTGATTGGGGCACAAAATTGCTTAGTCTGATGGTTGGTTAGGAAGCATATGTTTCAATTTTTTTTTTGGTATTGGATTTTGATTGTTGATTTCATATTTGATTGGAGGTGTTGAAATTGCATTGTGGTGCTGGCAATTATTTGGTCTTTTTAGGGTTTAGGTTTTGAGGTTTTTTTAAAAATGTGCTTATGTTTTTTTTTATATAAGAATACATGTTTCTTTCTTTTTTTTTAAATATTGAATTTGTTGTTGATTAGGTTTTGAGGTTTTTTTTCAAAAAAATAAAAATAATTTTGCCAAGGATGTTTTAATTGTAAGACCTTATCAGTTGTGCAGATGTCAGAACTTATTAGACGTCGTAAGATGGTGACGAGTCCTCATAGTTTGCCTCCCCCGATTGTGACGTCTGCTGTCACTGCTCCAGCACAGTTGCACAAGGTCCCAGCTTTTCCCAATGTCTCCCATGCACCGGTGTCATCAGAGTCCTCAGTGGCACAACCTGTTAGCGCCAGGCGCCGTCATCGCCCTCCCCACTTGATGGACACCGCTTCGACATCCACTGCTGGTGCGTCGGGTTCTCAACCAGGTAAAGATTTCCTTCAACTACAAATGTTTCGTACCATTACTTTTTTATGATTTGTTAATGAACGTTAATTTTATATTTCTTTGCAGTCAAGAAGAACACCCGGGGACCTTGTCGCCAGTTGAATACGGCGAAGGTCACTCGGGTGACCAACACTCGTATCAACATCAGATACGATGAGCGTCATCGAGCTGCACCTACGGCGGACCAACATAGCTCATTGGCTCACGATGTTGGTTCAGTCATTCGGACCTATTGTCCGATGAAATGGAAGTCTTGGAAGGCCATGCCTGACGAGGTGCATAACGAGATGCGTGGACAGCTGTCGGTATGTATCCTACCTTTTAATTGTTTTCCCTTCCAATTTTATATATTTCTAATACTTAATGCATGTAATTAATTTATTGCAGATC